ACAAAAATTTTGGGTAGTGGTAAACACTGGTCAAAGAACACAGAAAACAATCAAGGAGAATCCCTTATAAAAATGAACAATGAAAGCTACATTTCAGAGCTGCTCATATGTGTTTGCCATAAATACTAAGTATTTTTACTAAATTAATAGAGACTAATTTAATTTACAAATGATGCTATGCTTTTTTTGGTTTTATCATTTGCTCATGTTCCATGATAATAGTGGACATCCAATCTTTTATTTCCTCTACTTCTTGGTGGTGCTTGTCATAGCATGTTCTGTTCTGTTCCCTCCTTCAAGCAACATGGAAAAAATTTGGTCCTCAAGAGATCATAACCTCCTGGAGATAGGCAGGATGCTTCTGGTGTGTTTTAATTTTTACTTCATACCAGCACTACGTATACGTATTTAGTAAATACTCAGATAGGAAGGGCCATGCTTTCAAAATATTCTAAAAGTCACTGTTATGACCAGCCAGGGGGATTAAAGATCAAAAGTAAAATGAGACCAGCAAGACTGTATTTCATCATGTGCCCATGCTTTTTCCTGAAATGATTTTTTAAGGCTCCCAGCTTCTTTGGAACAGTACAGGTATTTTAAACACCTATGGGTTTTCGTTGTTGTTGTTGTTTTACTCTATAGACAGAGCAGTCTGCAAAGAAGTGCGGCAGGTACAAATGTCTGCTTCATAACGTCCTTTGAAGTGATACAACCTGGGCGTCCAAGGCTACATATACCCTACTGTAGAGGTGGTACATATTCTAAAACCATATCCTTTTATTTGTTTTGGTTTCATCTTTATAGTTATATTCACTATGCAGTTAGCAAAGGTTGACAATTCTGTTTCTAAATTTTACTTTTTTTTAATCTTTCATTATAAAACTCATTTTATAGTTGTGGTTTTACTCCTTTTCAAGGATATTCTTTTCCCAAAATGTGATGCTTAGGACACTAATCAGATTTTATATCACTTAAGAATATGTTATGTAATCAAATAAATTTAGAAAAGGCTACATGTACGACACAAGGAAAGGGGTTAGTCTATATTAGTTTAAAAAAAATTTGTGAAAAAGTTTAATGTAAAGGACCATTAAATTTCCCCTACTCAATCATTTCCCAACATTTTGATTTTAAAAACTATGCCCTTTTCCCATTTTCAGAGACACCATTTAATAAATTTAACAATGGCTACTTCGGCTCCCCATCAGCTTGCTGCTGAACCTGTTCATCCCCTCTACTCATTCTGAGTCCATCTTTTTAGGGTCCTCCCATTTCCAGAAGCACCTCTGTGGAGAAATCAGTGCTATGATTCCTATGGGCACCAAAGATTATTTCCAGGGCACAGAGCAACTTTTGCAGTCACCATCTCCCTACTTGAATGCAAGCTGCTCTGAATAAACATTGGTCAAGCAGCACTTGTACCAATCTTAGCGCCTGAACAAGCTTTTTGAGGACCTTTGCTGTGTCCACCCTGAACCTTTACTGAGGTTAGGAAAATCAAAGTGTGACTAGCTGAGAAGCTATGGTGGTAAGGCTGGAGGAGCAGCGATTCAGACAAGAGGGCAATGACCTTCTGGATTGCAGAGTTTAGCTTTGTGATTTCTGTACTGCCATGCCAATGTAAGCTCCGCCCAAGGCCCTTACCAATATTTCCATTGCATTTGCAAAACACGTGACAAAAGCTACATGGCGAAGGGTGAAACACACTATCATTTATTTTTATAAGAATTTATTGTTGCAAGAGCTATGATATCTATCTGAACTTCTGGAAATGGAGAGTTAATTTTGAATATCTTTTTCAGCTTTGTATAAACAAGATGTTAGAAATCAGACAAAAATAATTGCAGATACCTTAGAAGGTCTAGGCCCACGGGGAAGACATGTAACAGGGGAAATGTGCCCAATAAAGAAGTATTGAAAAATATTTGTTAATGTAGGTGTGTGCTGCTGACTCGATTACATCTTTCCCTGTTACAATACCAGTTAAAAACACACATTCTCATGTACTCTCTCTCTCTCTCACACACACACACACAGGCAAATGCACACACACATACTCACATGAACACACAAGCACACACAAACATGAATGTGTGCATATACACATGCACAGGCACACATGTGTATATGCCTGTGTATAGGCGTGCATGCACACACACACACACACACACATGCATGCACAGAAGCACCTGCTCGTGCTTCAGCAGAGGATGTTTATAGAAACAATTCTCGTTTGATGTTGCAGAATATTTTGGTTCTGAAGTTATTTTTTTTAAATAGAAACCTCTTCATTCCACCCAATACATGCTGTGCTCCACCCCTCTAGGTTCCTATTCCAGTACTTTACTGGAATAGCCAAGCCTCCTTTCTGTCTCCAGTGAAGTTCTGTATTTTCATCCGTCACTAGAGAGACTCACTAATGTGCCAACAATGACACATTTCATCATTCTTTCATCGACCGCCAGAGAGCTTCTGCATGTTTGTTTGTTCTTGAACACCAAGTATTGCTCAGACATAGACAGTGATTTTTTTTCTTAATTTTGCCAATGTAAATCTGAGTTATTCACTCTGTTACATCTCATGTTAGGATAATAGTTAAACATGAACACACACACACACACACACACACACACACACACACACACACACACGGACCTGAAAAAAGCTAACAAAATCTAGGAGACAAGGAAGTCAGAGCAGAGAAATGCCAGCTGAGGATGGCTAGGTTGAAAAAATTCAAACATCAATCATGGGCTGTGTGAGAAAAGAAACATTAATATCTCTTTAAAAGTAGCGAAGTGCCTCCTCATATATAGTGGGAATTTGAGGAGTTTAAAAAAAGGAGTGGTATAAAAGGAATGTAACGAAATGTTTTTGTGGTTTGTGAATGAATTGTGGTGGCTGCTCTGGCTTTCCTTGCTGTCAAGGGATGCCTGTCTGATGCGGACGTCCAGAGACCGGTCCTGAGGAAACCTGGTTATGCGTTGTGTTTGCACAGGCTCATTTTCAGTCCCTGAGATTACGCCTACGTCCTCTTCCTAAGTTGTCTCCTTTGAAAACATTCCAATTCTTTCAAGTTGTTTTTCTCAATGCTAATTCCTCCGTGCTGTGGGACGCTACCTAAACCCCAGAAGGCGCTGGCTTTTGGGTACTTATCCTCTGTGGGATATTTTCATGTGAACCATCCTCAAGAGCAGGTCAGAATAAATTCTTGATTCCGGTAGTACTCTTGCGTAGTTGTGGAGTCAGTGCCCAGACCCGAGGAGGCTGTGTGTGGTGTGTCCACACAGTGCGCATGTGCATGCGAAGGCCAGACAGCAGCAGCAGCAGGTTCTCAACTGCTTTCCATCTTGTTTTGGGGTGAGTTTGTGCAGTCTATGCAGGGGTGTGTGTGTGTGTGTGTGTGTGTGTGTGTGTGTGTGTGTGTGTGTGTGTGTGTGTGCGCGCGCGCGCGCATGTGTGAGCATGTGGAAGTAAGAAGCTAACACTCTATATTTTCCTTTGTCACTCCCCACCTTACCTTTTTGAGGCAGGATCAGTTACTGAACATGGAGCTAATTGCACCTAAGCCTGATAGACAGAAACTGCTGGGATCTACCTGACTCTCCTATACCTGACTTTGCACACGCTGTGCTGGAACAAATGTTTATGCCACATTGAGGCTCATAACGTTAAAGAGCTTGTGTGGCAAGCTCTTTAATGACTGACCATCTCCCTAGTGGTCAGACTTGGTCCCGAAGGTCTAGCAGTGAGGCAGTTAGTGCAGCTGCCTTCACTGTCACTCGCTGTGTCCTGTAGGTGTTTGTGGCTCATCAACATCAAAAGTAAATTAAGATGCTATTGTTTTGCTTTGCAAATTAAAGCAACATCGTTCTCTAGGTATTATTAGCATGTATCTCTTTCATTGCTCATAGCACATTCTGCCTGTTTACTTTTTGTTGTGCAGGTGAGCTGTAGGTAAGGTACTTGAGAAGGCCTGTGAGCTGCATTGTGCAGCTGAGCACGGAGTCGGCTGCATTTTATTAGCACCACAAATCAGGAAAACACAATGGATTTCACTGTAAACTTTCTCTGTGAGAAAAGGATGCTGAGAAGAAATTAGGGAGCTATATCCTTCAATACTGATTTTCTAAAAGCTGAATTAAAATTAAAGCAACCCAGGACAGAGGGCCAGAACCTGGATTAAAATTCTCAATAGCGCATTTGTAGCTGTTTTGTTTGCATAGATCCTTTATCTGTTTGCGTTGCCACTGTATTCAAACTCAGATAGCTCCCACTCTGCTGTACCATCTCAGGATGATGCCATAGAATTAAAAATTTAGACTACAAAGTAGAACTACATTAAAAAGTCCATTAAACCTGATTTATTTAATCTGAATTAGTAGCTTGTTGATAAATGGTTAAATACTGACAAGAACCTCTGGGCCAAAAGTTGATGACCTCATAACTCATGCAGCTTAGGGCTAGATAAGGGCATCAGAAAGGGTGTGAAATTTTACTTGTTCCAAAGACATTTCCTTGCTTTTAAATCATGAACAGAGACCAAATGACCTTGGATAGAACTAACAGTCCATATATCCTATGACTCATGAATGAAAACAGTGTGTAGATGAATCAGGACACCCTGATTTTGTACTGTGTTAGAGATAAAGCAAAAGTTTATAAATGTCATATCTAACTAAAAGTACTTTTATCTTTGTGGTCAATTCTAGGGTTGTCCTCGTTTCTTAATCTCTGTGAATGAATCTCATCCATTATGCAAGTGCACGCTTTAAGGAGCTGTGGAGGGGTGGGGTTTTAATTTTTACCAATTCAATTTAAATGCAAATGTTAACCACTCACATGATGCTACTGTGTACATAATTAAGCATCATTATACACTGCATGAATCATTTAGAAGCCTCCTGAGAGCCATTCTGCTATGTAAAACATGCATTACACTGACAAGCAGCCAAATGACGTATACCTCTGTGCTCATTAAAGCTTCTTTTGAATTACAGGTCAACCGATTATGGGACAACCTATGAAAAGCTGAATGATAAGGTGGGGTTGAAGACAATTTTGAGCTATCTCTATGTGTGTCCAACCAACAAGCGTAAGGTAATATATGACTATATAGCTTGCTACTGATTCTTGCTGTGACTCTGTCTTGCTTTGGCTAACCACGATGGCTACCTAAAACTCCATAAAGGAAAGCAAGGATAAGAGATGCAAAAATAAGTTAGTGAGTGTTAAGGTGCCTGCCATCTCATGATTTTCTAACCATCAGCTGTGCACATAGAGGACAAGGCCCATTATTGCAGCTTAAGAAATCAACTGTACGGATGAGTATTATCAAGTGGAGGCTGCTGACTGCCTAGCAAACATTCTTGGCTGCCAGTCTCAAGACATCAGAAAGGCTTAAGGAGTCAAATGAAAGACGAGCTTTGAACACACACTAATATTTTCCCTTGACTTATAATACATAGACTGGCTAGAGTTTCTGGGAAGGCATGATCCCATAACAGTCAGGGAATTGTAGGAGTTTAATATCTCAAGTTTGTTCAGGCTGTATCCTAGTGTTGGGGTGGGGACCTCATGTGACAGAGATGAAATCCGCAAAATTGGCGGCTTTAATCTATTCACAGATCTTAACTGGGAACTCCATTAGAATTCATTCTTCTTATTTAAGATGATAAAACTGAGGTTCAGGGAAAAGAAACACCTTGCTTTCATTTGAGGGTTACAGGCGGCAACCAACTATAAAGTCCATGCTTACTCCCTGGTAATTGCAAATTTTCTGTTGTGTTAGTGCTCTTTGTTTTTCTTACTATGTGGGATGATTTTCTCTTCAGAAAGCTTTGTTCCCAGGAGAGAAAAATCTTTGACTGCAGGTGACAAGTGTCTCAAAATTAGAGAAGTGTTATAACAACATATTTGTTTTATAAATTTGTATCATTATGTTCTGAAGCCTGTCATGTAAAGCTGAAGCATAACAGCCTTAGGTGAACAAATAGTATCTACCAAGAAGCAGCAAATGCTGCCCATCATTGGTTCCTAAACCATGTCTTGTTACCCTGACAACACTGTAGCTAGGCTCTCATCTCAGGACTGCCATTGGATGCTGCTAGTAGGCTCAGGATTTCCTGTCCTCTAGTCTGCCATTCTCAACTTGAACATAACATCAAAAGCACTAGGGATTCAAAGGTAAGATCCTGGTTCCACCCTGATCTCAATCAGGGCTCAAATGTCTTATGAAACTACTCACATACATCTGACATGTATACAATATTCCAAGTGTAAAGTTACCGTCCCTTCTGGCTCCAGTCACTTCAGGTTTTTTACGTGTGACTTTGCAGACCGGCATAGATACTGCATTTAGGTGGCTTGTGTGAAGACCCACCTAAGCTCAGCACTGAACAGATAACAATGATATCACTTCATTTACCCATGAAATGTCCTCAAACTTAAAGCAGGGATAATGATAGCACTTGCCTTGTGATGACAGTTGTAAGGCATGTATGAAATTAGACATTCAACTCCACAGAACAGAGCAGTACAGGCTCAACCAATTTTAAACTTTATTTTCCTTTCTTACCACCCTGTTCCTCATGCTTCATAAAATTATAGGGAGTAAGAGTAGGGATTATCCCCTATACTTTTGAGTGTCCAGGGGAACATTCTGTGATAATTAGAATTTTCTTCTAAGCTGTGTAGTTCTTTAGACACTAGCAACCCATGTGGCTGGTGAATATTTTAAATGTGGCTAACATAACTGAGGAACTGAATTTTAAACTTCACTTAACTCTAATTAACTTATATTTTCATACCTGCATTTGGCTGGGGATGGCAGTATCGGATAGCATAGCTCAGTATGAGAACTGTGCCCTCAGCATCACTTATTGGTTATTTACTTGGCCATCATCAATAATTTCATCTAAACTATTTTGACCTGCTGGATACAGCCTCGGAATGTAGAGCTGAACTTCTAGCCTTCGGTTTCATAATGAGATTTAGTTGTTGTCTGGCTTTAAGTTGATTCATATCTCCTCTATTGATTTTAGTTCTAGTTCACATTTGGAGTAAATTTAATTTAATAATCAATAGATTGTATGTGAGGCAATGAAGTTTCAAGTGACATAAAAGGAGAAATAAGGGCAGTGGGACAGCTCAGCAGACAAGGTGCTGGCTGTCAAGCCAGACAGCTGGAACTCTTGGGCCGGAAGAGATTAGTAGGTTGTCCTTGGCACTCTATACTAGCACTATTCCATGACTACAAGAAATAAACAGAAGAAAAGCCAGCAGCCCAAACTCCAAGACCCCACACCATAGTGGTAAAGGCAATGTGATGGCTGATTGAAAGCACCTTGCACTAAGAATCAGAAATCACTGTCCCTGCCTTGAATCTATTTTCACCTGTCTGTTGATTTGGGCAAATCATTTTTATTTGCAACATGTTAGAGGAAAGGTGGGAATTTATAGCTGAAAGGGCCCTTAGAACTCATCTTTCCCAGTGATAGTTTCTGCTTTATTGATGCTATTTGAAATGAACATGATTTTTAAGATTACTATGCTGAATATTGATTGCAGCAATTTCTGTAGCTGATGGATGCATGGTGAAGGATCCCCAAACCAATACTGTTTCTAAGAGCCAGATTTTAAGAGTGTAGCTTTCAGGCCCAGATGGGTGACTGGAGACAGGAAAAAGGCTGAAAGGGAAACACAAAGGACTACGCAAAAGGCTACTACGAAGTCCGTTCTGTTAAATGCATTCACACTCATGGGGCACACAGTTAACCTTTACTGACCATTTATTTCATACTAAAATTTTGTACAAACATTTAGATGTTCTGAACTGACCCTTGTAAAGACATAATTCCAGAAGAAAGGAAGTCGCTGTCCAGACCTGCGAGGGAACAGCTTCTCCAAGAGTGATGTTTCGAGATCCGAAGCTGGCCCTGTGATGTTTGAATCACAGTGTTCCTGAGTGAACCTAAGCTCAGGCTTATTTTCTTCTGCAGGTAGATGGAACCTTCAGGTCTACTGAGGTTCGAGTAGACTTAGGACATATTAGAAGATGGTGAATGTTTGTTTGTTTTAACAATGGTTCAAAAATTGATACAGTTGGCATCGCAATGTATTTCTGTACAGTTTTTTCTGCTTTTGAAGAAAATTTATCATCAGGAAACATATTGAATATATTTGAATGAAAGGGATAGTACCTGTGCAACACCTTAAAATGTAAATATATTCTTTTCAAAATAAAAGGTTGGTGTAAGTGAGGAGGAGGAGGAGGAGGAAGAGACACAGGATATCACCGGGCTTTACTAATTACACAGGACAGAGACTCTCCAGCCTACTTCAGTTAAGGAATTTTGAAATTCTCCAGTGAAACGAGAAGCCCATAAAGGATGCTATTGAGTCTTTCAGCTCTCCAGCATGCTATCTGACAAGTTATCTTCTTGGGTACCAGATTTTCCCTTCTGTGTTTGCATCAGTGGGAACAACTGAAATGAACCAGACAACAACCGCGTAACCATACGTGTTCCCAGAAACCTGTTTGCCTTCACATTCTTGTGCTATTTTCAGCTGTTTGTGAGGACAAGAGCAGTTCTAAATTGTCACATCTCAAACAGTGGACACCAAGCCTGCTTCTCGGGCAGCTTATTAAAAACGTCACTGGGATCAGAATAAATCATACCCTTATTTACACTCGAAACTGATAATCCAACACTGCCTGTTTCATTGTTTAGTTTGAGTAAGACCACAGTAGAATTTCTTAGACATCTCTGGTACCATAAAAATTGTCATTGCATCATATGTTAGACTAGGATATCTTGACTAAGAGACACAGAAGCCCTGCCCTTAAGTATAATGTTGGCTCATTCACACTTTCTTGTAGAAAGAGTCCGGCACCTACTTTCTGATATATGACCTAGTCTCAAAAGATCAAGGCTTTGTGGACTCAAGTGCCAGCAGAGAGTGTGGGTAGTTCTCTGTCACCATGTCTCTACAGGAGAACAGTTCTATAAGTCCAGGCCAAGGCAATTCCCTTGGCTTGTTTGTTTTGGCAAAGGTTTCTAGGTTACACATACAGTCAGCTAAAGAAAGGATAATTTAATTCATCCCTGGAAGGAGTACCTGGGATCCAGAGGGTGATGGAGAGAGCCAGTATTCATGAATAAAAGGAAATGCAAAAGCACCATTGTAATCTCAGCCCCACTCTTAAATTCTCTCCCAATTCTATTTGTATTCTAAGTAAAAAGAAAAAGTCTTTTTACTCTGCTTGATTTGCCAGTGATACTTGTCTTATTGTTCCCAACCAGCTTGAGCTGCCCTCCCTTCAAAGGTGTGTATAACATCCCCAGAGATTAAAGCTACAAAACTACATGGAAGTGAAAAGGGGGAAAATCGAGTTAATTTTATCTTGCTACAGTCAGTTCATTTACTTGCTATAATTTTGTGATCTCTGCACAGTGTTCTTAGCAGAGTTAAAAAAAAAAAAGCCAAGACAGTGTTAGATTTTTATTTCTTGTGTCGCTTTTGCATCCCTACTCTGCTTTTCTGTTATCGCGTCTTAATTAATATTATGCCCGCTGAGAAGTCCTCGAAGGCTTTCACCCTATAAATAGGACCCTTGTTCTCCAGAACACATTGATCATCCTCGCTAGTCCCATGGTACCTGCCTACATTAAACACTGTTTTCATTTTCTCCAGATGTTTGAGTTTTAATCACCATGCTGTATGTGACACTTTCTAAATCAGTGTTTGATGATTGACTCTTCAAGTCTCTTTTACCCTCTGGGCCTGCTTAATTATGTATGTCCTTTGTTCAGACAGTCTACATGCCATGTGTGGGACTTGAAGATCAGGAAAGATGTCAGATTAAAAAATCTGCAAATTTATGGCTGAAGACATCAGTTTGAACCAGATCTTAAAAGAAAGAGACTTCCAATAGATTCCCCTCATATTATAAATACAAAACTGGAACCCCTAATAGTTTAGTGACTTGCATGCATCAGGCAAAAGAAAAGTAAAGATTGTGTGCCCTTGAAAGAAACTGTTAAATGTCCCTTAATCTGTGTGATAGCCCTGCACAGGAGAGTCTGTGCTGACCAATG